CATCCACGAGGCTCGACTTCGAAGACATTGACCAGAGATCAGACAGTAGTACAGACACAGTTGTCTCCGAGAAGCCTACGGTACCTGAGAAAACGTCTGCGTTTGCTGCAGCGCACAAGCTTTTTACGACCGGTGATTGGTCCTTGATGAGCAACGGCAAACCCCAAAATGTAAGCTTCATTCTCTTGTTGCTTGGTTTTCACTGATATAAGAAACGTACAGAAAAGGCCTGGATCTCCAAAACAAAAAACCGAGAGGGGGTCCAGTAAACCACCGTTGCCAAGGTATTCCTCTTTCCACATTCGAAAGGGAACGTACCATGCCACTTTAGATTTTGTGAGATCGTTATGCGACATAGCATCTGGTTTAGTCGATGTGTTTCCAATGGAAGACCGACGGAAGGCTCTTCACGAGGTATTAAATTGCTAACTTTGTAAGTTGCTCTAATTTTGCTTTTTAATCTTTTCCCAGTCCTTGGCAGAACTGAACAATCATTTGGCAAGTGCGGAGCAAGATGGAGGTTAGCATTTCGACCTTTTCTTTACTTTTAGTTTCTAACATGACTTAATTATGTTCCCGGTTTCAGGTGTGTGTTTTCCGATGGGGAAGGGTTTGTACCGTGTTGTACACATACCGGAAAACGATGCGGTGTTGATGAACTCGAGGGAAAAGGCTCCGTTCCTTGTTTGCTTTGAGGTTTTGAAATGTGAAACCGAGAGGTATTTTAAAATTTCCGGTTGCCTTTTTCTTATCATACTTTTTATGCAGCTCTGTCAGGGATAGTAGAGATTCATCAATCAGGCCTCGAGGAGGGATTCCCCTTGCAAATGGAGACGCGCATGTTCAGCGTCCACCTCCTTGGGCTTATCCCGTATGGAACTCTCAACAATCGGGTTCTGAAAATTACTTGCGCAGTGCTTCCCGTGCTATCGATCGAGCCATGGCACACGACTGGGAAACCAACGTCAAAGTTGTCGAGCTGAACTTGCATGTCTTGGAACGGACGGATGATTCCGACAGGGGAGAGAAATGCAACGAGTCTGAATTGGTGCAAGTCAGTTTGCGAGCGGTTGTTGATATGAATATGGAAGATGTCGGAGAGGATTTCACTGCAAAAAGAAAGGATCATCGCCGTGTTCCTAGTACTGTAGCAATGGATGCTGTCAGGGTAAGTCCTTGAGCGTCAACTCTGAGAATATTTGTGATGTTTATTTCTTGTAGGCTGCAGCTGCAAAAGGTGAAGCTCCGCCAGGTCTTCCGCTGAAAGGAAGTGGCACAGTAACGGTAGGAGACTTTGTGTATGGATATGAGATTTACGTGAAACTGAACGCATTCTTGGATTTGTAGGATCAACTCGGCAAATCTTCTGATGTCGTCGGCGGCGAACTATGGGACATCAAAAAGGGAAAGATCAAGAAAACGTCCGTCTTTGGTGGGCTTCCTGGCTGGGATTTACGATCTGTAAGACTTTAACTCTTTTTGTCTCTTATCTGTAGTAAGCTTTTCCTATTTTATAACAGGCTATTGTTAAAAGCGGTGATGATTGCAGGCAAGAGCACTTGGCCGTTCAGCTTGTATCCCATTTCTATGGTAATCCGAACTGCTTTGAGACTTCCGACATCGTGTCAACGTCTTTGTTGTTTGCAGACATTTTTCAGGAAGCTGGCCTTCCTCTATGGTTGCGTCCATATGAGGTTCTAGTGACTTCCTCCAGAGCAGCGCTGATTGAGACGATTCCGGACACTGTAGGTTCTTTTTGTTTTGGTCTGTTTCCTCTACTAATATGCTGCGTTACAGGCTTCCGTACATGCTATAAAAACGCGAAACACAAGCTTGAGAGAATACTTTTGCAAAAAGTACGACGAGAATTCGCCAGCGTTTAAGCTTGCACAGGTGATTTACCGATGCAGTTTTTCTTGCCGTCCCCCTGATTTCCGTGAATTACGCAGAGGAATTTCGTGGAAAGCATGGCCGGCTATTCGATTCTATGCTACTTTCTTCAGGTATTAATCCTTCTTTGCTTTGCTACTGCTTAAACTAATGAGCGCCGTTGACAGGTGAAGGACAGACACAATGCAAACTTGCTTATCGACGAGGATGGGCACATCGTCCATATTGATTTCGGTTTCATGCTGTCTAATTCTCCTGGTGGAGTTAACTTTGAGAACGCCCCTTTTAAATTGACTCGGGAACAATTAGAGGCAAGTGTCGCTGCTGCTGTTGCACACTTGCGCTTGTACTTGAACGTCTTTTTCCATTGACAGGTGATGGATTCAGACGCAGAAGGGACTGCCAGCGAGTTTTTTGATTATTTCAAGGTGAGTGAGAGCATGGAAATACAAACAGTCGAACGGTTTTTACGTGTTTGTCCTTCCAGGTGTTGTGTATCCAGGGCTTCCTTACGTGTCGGAAGCACGCAGAACGGATAATTCTTCTGGTGGAAATGATGCAGGTAGACGACTAAAAGTTCTATTCGATTCGTCTTGCGAACTAATGCCGATTTTTTCTTGCGTAGGATTCGGGATGTCCTTGCTTTCGTGGAGGTCCCAAAACGATCCTGAATTTGAGAAAGCGTTTCCATCTTAGCTTGACTGAGGAGGTGAGTTATCCTAGAACTTTGCAAACTTTGTCTCGTTCTTCTCATGGTTTTTCTTTGTTTGTTCTTGGCAGCAATGCGTCTCCTTGGTCTTGTCGCTCATCAGCAGTAGCTTAGATGCTTGGCGTACTCGGCAGTATGATTACTATCAACGTGTTTTGAATGGAATCCAATAGCTCTCTCTCTCAGATCACTGGCGGATTTTGGTGGTTCTTCTTCTTCTCTCTTTTCCATGTTTCATATAATTTTGGGCCGAGAGCTCACTCTTCTTCTTTTGTGCGCGGGCGTATCATCCAAGGCATTCGTGGATGAATAAGAAAGAGCAAGAAAGCCGACTTGTGGCACCTCTTCTATGTTAATGTAAATATCTGTCCATTTGGTACTAGCGATGGGGGTTTAGGGTTCTATATTTCAATGCGATATGGGTGCGCTGGCGCCTCCTGCCGTGCCCGCCGCTCTCTCCTTTCGCGCTGTCGATCGCGAGCAGAGCCGGCTCAATGCGGCTGGGAGGTCGCGAATTCCGAGCAACACGGTTTCTTTTCGGCATTGGAATCTCAAATCAGGCATCGCGTTTGCTCGATGTGGAGGGGGCTGCTTGTTCTTGGCGCGCGGGAGGCGATCTCGATCGATATTTTGCTCCCTCAGCGCCGATGAGGTCCTTTTCGCTGATAAAGCTGATGGAAATCCTCCAGCTGACAGGTATGATCGTGAGAAGAATTTGAGGTAGAGATGATGTATGATTGATTGATAGGAGTTTGCTTGAGGATATTGTGGCCAAGGACGGCCTCGCGAAAGAAGTCGCGGTTTTGGCGTTTCCAGCGCTGCTCGGTCAGGCGATTGAGCCGCTGGCGCTTCTTACGGAGACAGCATTTGTAGGAAGGCTAGGTACCTTCGTTATTCCCTTTTTCTCTTTCCTCTCTTCTTTCGTTCCTTAGCCGAAAAAACGTTTACAGGAGCGGTGGAGCTAGCTGCTGTTGGAGTTTCGATCTCGGCTTTCAACTACGTCTCTAAGTGCTTCAACATTCCTCTTTTAAGCGTGACAACTTCGTTCGTAGCTGAGGACGATGCTGCTGTTCTCACCGATGATCAGGTGATTTTACTGTTATATTTCATAGGCGGGAATATGATGCTAGATTTCAGAGCAGCAGTCCGACGCAAAAAGATACGGCAAACAAGTCCTGCCTGCTGTTTCTTCCGCTCTCGTCCTCGGCTGTGCAATCGGGTTAATCGAAGCGTTGTTACTGGGATTTCAAGGTGGGAGATTGCTTAAACTGATGGGCGTCGCCAAGGTACAACATGAGTTTTTAAGTCTGCTTGCAAGAATTATTTAAATGTTTGTAGGATTCAGTAATGGCACCACCCGCAAGACAGTATCTCGTTTTTCGGGCTCTTGCGGCACCAGCAGCCGTGCTTTCACTGACATTGCAAGGTATTTTTCGCGGATTGAAGGACACCAAGACGCCTCTCTATGCAACCGGTATGTCACTCGATGAGTTTGTTTACGACTAATTCTCTCTTCAGCGATTGCAAGTTTGTCAAACATTGTCCTGGGGGCAACTCTTATATTTGGTCTAAAATTCGGCGTAGTGGGTGCGGCATTTGCATATGGAGCATCACAGTAAGCTTACATTTTTGTCGCTTACGTTTTTTTAGCTATTTACGTTTGTCGCTGTAGATATGCGATGATGTTTTATTTGCTGTGGTGCCTTAACAAAA